TGTTTGCACAGCATAGACAACAATACATATGTCCCAGTCCGACGAGTACCACTAACACCATGCACTAATGTCGGGAAACTTTTATTTGTCACACTGCTCTGTTCCAGAGCCCAAACTGCGCGAACTAAACCTAATAGTTGATATACTTTAGGACGTGAAGACACCTGAAATAGTGCCCTTTGACAAACATATCTATATAGTGATATTTCGCATCTCTTGAGACAATTCTAAATTTTGAAAACAATGCAAAAGCAAACCACAGGCCAGCCAGTAAACATGAGAACATGTACCATGCGTTCCTCTGCATCGTATTTATTGGTAACTTTCAAATCAAACGTTGTCATTACATCTTCATCACGTGAAGCGAGTGTTTTAATGATAAAATATTTCTGCTAAAGAAATGAGTTTGATATTATGTTATTGAAATGCAGCGCTACAGAATTCTGATCATACATACTATCAATCAGTAAACTAATAGTATAATAATTCATGGTATTCCCGAGAGAGCTTTTGCAGTGCTATGTATTAGTCGATCGAGGACGAAGATTGCAGATAGAAGCACCACTAGAAAAAAAATTTTCAGTTGAATGGAGAGTTTTGATGAAAACCAAGATTATTTCATTATCGTAGTAAAAAGATTGATAAAAATACTTTTAATTTTTTCCCTTCCTTTTTTTCAAAATACTTAGCGCATTCATCTTTCGAAGTGAGGGGTATCAAGCACACAATCACAGCAGTATTTAGCTGCCATATCATTCGCCACCAAGAGTTGAGTGTTGAATGTTTAGGACTCTGATAAATCGTTTAAATCTCTTTAAAAATACTTATGAACTATTGAAAAAAAAAATCCATTATAGAAGCTTTCTTTGCAAATTTTTTCCAAATTTCTAATCAGTCTTATATGCAAGAATTGTTTAGCAAATGTTTTCGAACTGACATCAATAACATTCCTCATATTTAGTGACATTTGGCTGCTATTACATTTTGTCATGGCATCGGTACTTTCTATTTAATGTCTTCAAATATCAGATGGAATTAACAATAATCAAAAGCATATCTAGGTACCCACAATGAATTCATGCGAAAAAAAATTATATATTGCTTCGACTATTTATCAAATAACGAAATTATGTTTTTGAAAAATGTACCTGAGCAAGTACATAATCACCGAATTTGCTTTTCAATTTTGTTGCATGAATGTAATTATCGTCTCTGGCATCATTTTTTGTAATTTGAAGGACCACAGCTCCTTCGTTAAAAAGTACAACATGTGGGTACCGATTTCTCTGAAAAGAACACATATATCGTAGGTGAAATTGTGATGATTACCACTACTAAAGATCACTTGAATCATTTTGATAGATTTCCAAACCAAGCAGTTGATTTGTCAGAAAAATCAAATATTTCAATCAAAACCTGGTGCTAAAATAATAGCAAAAGAAACTAGCAATGGAGGTGAGAAGAAATAATCGAAAACTGCTTGAAGATTGTAAGATCAAAAGCATCACTTTCATGTTTTTCACAAAATTGGATATGTGCCGTTCTTCTCTTATCATCGAATCATGTTCCGACAACATTTTTGATTTTCCTGAGAAATTTTTCAATGCAGTCAAAATATTATTTTAGATAATGTGACAAAATTATTCGAAAGCACTCTCATGAAAAACATTTCGAAAATGTAATGTTTTCAAATTTTGATCGTTCAAAAAGAAAAACCACTTTGTAATTGAAAGAGAAAATGAGGAAAAGTCCAGAATCAGAATCCAGGCGCAAACATGTACATAAAATAGCATGCCACACCTAAAATATACCTGAAATTCTGGTCTTTTTCACAAATTCAAAAACAGTTTCCCCATTGACTTGCAATTGTTCAGATAACCTTTGATTCATTTCAGTTCCATTCACAGTCAATTTCCGACTCTCAAAACACGTCTCTGTGGAAAAACAATCATTTGATTCAAGTTGTCCCAAAAGGCTCAAATGACACATTTATAAACTACATAAATTAAGAGTGCTCTAAGTACTTGCGTCATGCAAGTGTTTAGAGCACTTGCGTCATGCGAGTGTTTAATCAATCTTGAAAACGAAATTAATTGGCATGAATAGCTGTAAGAAAATATTTGAATCCTTTTGTTACCTACACCAGTTTCTAAATACTCTCACAACCAATCATGTTTATATACACCACTGAAATGAAATCAATAGGAAATTAATGTGACACATGAAAGTGATCAAAATTCCAAAATTTACTAAATAAAGCCATAAACCGTCCAAACTGCCGAATCAAGAACAGAAATGATTCAACCGCACAAATATGTTGACATTAATAGCTTAAATTAAATGCATACTTTTAGCCATACCTAATTTTACTGTAGAATAGCAACGTTAAAAGAAAAAACTATATGAAAGCTATAATCAATTATATTCGAGAGCATTCTTTAAATAATTGAACTATATTTTATCTATGGAACGCCTGAATGTCCTCATGAAGGTGATAAAAATGACACCATAGAAACAAAAATAAAATGCTTAATTGTCGAAAAAATAATATAATGATAAACTGCTGCGAAAAACTCAATGACACTGTCGATTTGAATGTAATATTCACAAGTAACAATGGCAAATCATATGCTCAGTTCTCAGGTACTGTTTAAATCAAACAATTTCTGAATAGGACATTACCGACATACACAGAATACATCGTGTACAAGATGGAATATAATGATCATACTGCATAAAGACACCGTTTCATTTTTATCCTAAGTTGGTATGTATTCCGAACATTTCAATTTATGCGAAGGTATCACAGATTTACCATTTACATATGTGTATTTCGAAATAAATTTTTCGACATTTCAGCATTGATTTCTGCTGAATGTAGGAAACGTGCGAAAGCAGCTGTGCAAAA